TTTGTCGGACAGAAAGGGTGAGAGTGGGCAGCCTTGTATTGTTTCAGTTTTTAGAGGAAATATTTTCAATTTCTGTCCATTTAGTAATATGTTGGCTGTGGGTTTATTATAGGTGACTTTTACTATTTTGAGGTATGTTCTCTCTATACCTAGGTGTTCAAGGGGTTTTACAAGAATGGATTCTGGATTTTGTCAAAAGCCTTTTTTGCATCTAATTATAGAATCTTGTGCTTCTTGTTTTTACATCTGTCAATGTATTTAATTATTTGTATGGTCTTGTGGATTTGAAACCATCCCTGCATCCTGGGGATGAAGCCTACTTGGTCATGGTATAACTTTTGAGATATGTTGTTAGATCCAACTTGCCAGATTCTTGTTGAGAATTTTTACATCTATGTTCATCAGGGATATTGGTCTGTAGTCCTTTTTGTTAGATCTTTGCGCAGTTTGGGTATTAGTGTGATATTAGCTTCATAGAGTGATTTGGGGAGAATTCTGTCTTCCTCAATTGCCTGGAATACTTTCAGTAGAATTGGTATCAACTCCTCCTTGTATGTTTTGTAGAATTCTTCTGGAAAGCCATCTGGTTCAGGGCTTTTTTTTTTTTCTTTTTTTTTTTTTTTGTAGATAGTTTTCTTATGATGGAATCAATTTCCTGCGTTGTTATTGGTCTATTTAGGGTCTCTATTTCTTGTTTCAACCTTGGGAGGTTGTGTGATGTCAGAAAGTCCTCCATTTTGTTTAGGTTTTAAAATTTGTTTCCATACAGCTGTGCGTAGTAATCTCTGATAGCCTGTTGTATTTCTTCAGGGTCAGTTGTGACTTGACCTTATGTGTTTCTGATAGAGTTTATTTGGGTTTTTTGTCTCTTTTTCTTGGTGAATCTGGCTAGGGATTCATCAATCTTGTTTATCCTTTCAAAGAACCAGCTTTTTGTTTCATTTTTTTAATAATATATTTTGTCTTCTATGACTTCTATGTCTCATATTTGGGCTTTTACTTTGGTGATCTGGATTCTTAACTGATGTTAGGGTTTTAGTGATCTTGCCTTTCCAGCTCCTTTAGGTGATTTGTTAGATTATTTGACTTATGATCTTTCTATTTTGTTGATATGTATCTGTAAAGATATAAATTCCCCTCTTAGTATTGTTTTAATGGCATTCCAGAGGTTTTAGTAAGATGTGTCTTTATTTTCATTTGTTTCAGAGAATCTTTTAATTTCTGTTTTGATTTCTATGTTGACCTAGGAGTAGTTCAGCATTGTGCTGTTTAGTGTCCATGTCTTTGTGTGTTTGGGGGGGATTTTGTTGGTGGTAATATTTATTTTTATTCCACTGTTGTCCGAGAAGATGCATGGTAGTATTTTAATCTCATGTAATTTGTTTATGCTTGATTTATGGTGTAGGCTGTGGTTGATCTTGGAGTATGCTCCATGTGGTGATTAGTAGAATGTATATTCCATGGTTGTTGGCTGGAGTGTTCTGTAGGTATCTGTTAAGTCCATTTGGTCAAGCATCAAGTTAAGGTTCCAGATCTCTTTACTGATTTTAGTAGGGTTTTAAGTTCCCAGTTATGATAGTGTTAGAGTCAATATCCTTTTTTAGTTTACTTAGTAGTTGCTTTATAAATCCAGGTGCTCCCGTGTTGGGTGCATATATATTTAGGTTGGATTGAAATCTTTGTCATTATGTAATGTCCTTTAGTTCCTTTTTTTAAATTTTTGATAGCTTGAAGGTAGTTTTATCTGATATTAAAATGATGACTCCTGCTTTTTTTTGTTTTCCATTTGCCTGAAAGTTTGTTTTCCATCTTTTAAGTTTGAATCTGTAGGTGTTCTTTGTAGTGAGTTGTGTTTCCTGGAGGCAGCATATTGTTGGGTCATATTTTTTTTCATCCAATTTGCCATTCTGTGTCTTTTCAGTGGTGCATTTAATCCATTGACATTCAGACTGATTATTGAAATGTGAGAGTTCATCCCTGTCATGAGGCTCTTATAAGACTGTTTTGTTTTCTTTTAACTTTTGGGTTGATCTATGTGTGTTTTCAATTTTGTTTTTAATGTGTTTTCAATTTTGCAGTCATGAGGTGTGTTGTGTTGATTCTGTGGTTTCCTGCATTCTTGGTAAGTGCATGGTTATTCTTTTGTTCTTTCTTCTTTTTTCTTTCTTTCTTTCTTTCTTTCTTTCTTTCTTTCTTTCTTTCTTTCTTTTTTCTTCTGTGCTTAATACCTTCTTGAGTGTCTCCTGTTGAGCTGGTCTGGAAGCAGCATATTCTTTTAGGGATTCAGTGTCTGGGCAGGATTTTAATTCTCCATTGCTGATGAAGTTGAGCTTGGTTGGGTAGGAAATTCTCAGTTGAAATTGTTATTTTTGAAGACTTTGAAAATTAGACTCCAGTCCCTTCTAGTTTGTAGTGTTTCTGCTGCTAAGTCTGCTGCTATTCTGATTGGTCTTCTCCAGTGGGTAGTCTGACCTTTCTCTCTCACTGTCTTTAGGATTTTTTCTTTGATATCTACTTTGTGTAGGTGAATTACTGTGTGACTAGGGGTTGCTCTTCTCATTTGATGTCTGTGGGGTTCTCTGAATCTCTTGTATTTGGATGGTTGCATCTCTGATGAGATGGGGAAAGTTTTCTTGGATGACCTCCTGGAATACTTGTTTCAAGGTGTTCTCTGTTTCCCTTTCTTATTCTGGGATACTGATCAGGCATAAGTTCAGCATCTTGATATAGTCACACATATCTTGCAGACTTCGTTCTTTCTTTCTGAATTTTATTTCTATGTTTTTTAACAGATGGGTTAATTCCGTGTTTTGTTCTTCAAACTCTGAGTTTCTTCTGGTTTCCATGCTTGCCATCTTATTTATTTATTTCCTGGATAAAATTTTTTATGCCCAAAATCTGTTACCAGTTCTTTCACTGTTGCATCTTGTCTTTCTTGAGCCTTATTCACTCTGTTCATCCATTCCTTACTCCTTGGTGTCTTCTGGGATCAATCAATAGTGATTTCCATTGTTTGGGCTCTGATTTTTCAGATTGTTGCCTCTTTGGTACACCTGTGTTTTTCTGTTGATTTTTCCTCATTTGTGACAGATCTCTTTCTTTTCTCTTTAGTTTCAGTGTTAGTGAGTGGGACTTTTACTTCTCTTGTTTGCTCAACCCTGATCAGGGCCTCTGAATTTTTTCTGTTTTGAAACAGGGCTAGGGGTGGGAAGCTTTGCTGTTTCTTGTAGTTTTGAGAGTCAAATAAGGTAAAGGATGGGGAACTAGGATTCAGAAACTACTTGCAAGTTAAAGTGTTCACTGACTGACCTCCTGAGACCCACTCCCCACCACAACTCTATATAGCAATGCAATGGGTACATGTGTATAGCTCCTGAGTCCAAGATAAAGTAACAGTAATGAAGAGAACAGAGAAAAGTAGAATGAACAAAAGTGACATAAAATAAACCACACAAAAACAAAAAAAGACAGCAAGAAACCAAAAAACAAAACCAACAGAAAACACAATAAACACTACACAAAGAATACCAGGAAAACCAAAACACACACACACACACACACACTACAAAAAGCAAAAGAGGAAAAATAGGGGGGAAGGGAGGAATGCAAATCAGACCCTCATACACATTCACACACTACCAAAACAAAAGAAGAATCAATTTTTTAAAAAGAAGAACAAATAAGGGAGTGATGCAAATCTAACCCTCATACACATATTCACACACACACTAAACCAAAACAGAAGAAGAACACAAAAGCATTTCTGGGCACTAACCACCCTCTTTTGGCAGATTCTGTGATTTTTCCTCTCAGCTGCTCACAGGTAAGCCTGTCTGCCATCTCCGGACTGCAGGCTCATTCACAATCCCCCCAACATGCGACCCAAGGGAGGAGAGAGCATTGGGGGTAGGTGGGCCATCAGTCTTCCCTCCTGGTCTCCTAAGGTCTCCTAAGGTCAGGGTGATCCCCTCTGGTAGAGAGGTGCAGGACTGTGTCCTCCCCAGGTGCTGGCAGTGGGTGCCCCAGTCAGGCTTATCCTAGAATAAAATTTTCCTAGCACAGCTGCTGTCCAGGCTCTACCTGGGTTCATCCCTTTCAGTTGTGCCCCAGCCATGTGGATCTGATGATCAGAGGATTGCTGAGGAGGAGGAGGTTGGGTCAACTCACCACTGATCTCTTGGTGGGGGGTCTTCCTTGTCTTTTTCTGGTTGCACCCTGTCTCACACTGGCTCAGGGTAGGGGGTGGGGCCCTTGAAACTTTGCACTCATCCTGTCCCTTTGAAGTTTGTGTTTTCAGGATATTCCCTCTGGTTCACAATCAACCCCTGAGCAGTTAACCCTCTAGTCACAAAGAGTGGGTCTGTTGTTCCATGGTGAACAAGCCGAGCACTTTTCTTCCATTTTCAAGATGGTGGTGAGGTGCTTGTTTTGTCTTCTCCAGTGTGACTCTGCCTCTGGCTCCCTAGCTGCTGACTCCCTCTGCAGCCCTTGCTGCCAGTGTCCGGCCTGGTGCTGTGGTGGTCGGGCAGTCTGGCAATGGCTGTTACTCCCAGCAGCTTCTCCCAGGAAAAGTTTTGTGGATTTTAGAAAATGTTGCTCAGCTCCTGCATCCTGGGAGGTGCTGGGGTCCAATCAGAGCAGCTGCTGGCACCAGCTACTTCACCAGGAGAGCCCTGGCCATTTGCTTCTGAGTCCCCACTCGCATGCCCACTTACTAACAGACATCAAGCTTGTAAATTCGTCCATACGCTCACTCATTCACACAGAGACTCATACAGTCCGACTGGCTCCACTGCCATCATTTTCCTCACATGTGATTTTAAATGCTTGCTCCCTAATGAGGGAGTTGGATGTGCCAGAGGTTAGGATTGACATAAAATCATTAAGTGAACACATGGAAAAGCGAGTAAGAGAGACACAGGTTAATGGATGCAGGTGGAGCTTGGTTGAAGCTCTCAGAGAAACTGGCTCACGGTTGTGTTTCCTCAATCCTTTGGCAGATGTGACATTTAAATTGGATGATGGAGCCATCAGTGCCCACAAGCCGCTGCTGATCTGTAGCTGTGAGTGGATGGCTGCCATGTTTGGAGGGTCATTCGTGGAAAGCACCAACAGTGAGGTATGTGCCTTCTGCAAAGCCTTCTGGTATCTTTATGGATGTTCTTGTGCATGTGTGTTTATATAAAGTGTTCAGTTAGCCAGATTACTTCAGTTCTTGACTGTTCCTCAGCAGTGCTTGAGGATTAGGTCACCTTTTCTTAATTCTATAGTTATGAGGAGCTGTTGCTTACTGGTCAGTTGTGTGTGAATGTCTGGGTGCTTTTCATGCAGTCTGTCCTTTCATCCTCACAGCTCTCTTTAGCCATGAAGACATGGTCAGTTATACTTTTTAACAAGTGTCCCAGGCAAGGTACCATCAAAATCAAGAGCAAGAATTGGGTAGAGCTTGTCTTCCAGTGTTCAGAAAAGTGAAAAGAGCTCTTCAGTGACTGAAGTCCTGGGCTCAGTGCTCTCCCTAACCAGACAAGGGACCTGAGAAAGTTATACCATTGTGCTTCAGTCTTCTCATTTACAGAATGAGGGGTATGCTAGATTGTCCCTGAGGTCACCATGAACTACAACACTCTCTAAGGCTCTGCTTCCCTGACTTCTCTGACCATGGTGAGGGAATATGGGGTTTGTTAACTTTAGGAAAATGGTAATGGAGAAAATGGTTACTCCTCTGAATGCACCTCTCAAAATGCTCAGGCCCAGGGGAAGCCACTAGGTCACTTGTCAGCCACTTGCTCTACTTCCAAAAGTATCTCAGAGAGCCTATGTCTTTATCTTTTTTATTTTATTTTATTTTATTTCATTTTACTGTATTTTTAACTGACAATAAGTGTATATATTTTTGTGGTACAGTGTGGTTTGATACATGTGTACATCATGAAATAATCAAATCAAACTAATTAACCTGTCCATCACATTAAGTGTTTATCATTTCTCTGTGATGAGAATATTTAAGATCCCTCTCTTTTAGCTATTTTGAAATATACGATACATTACTATTAACTACCGTCACCATACTGTACAATAGAACACTGGAACTTATTTCTCTTGTCTAACTATAACTTTGTACCCACTGATGAACAGCTTCCCTTTCCCCATCCGTTCTTCCACCCCAGCTTCTGGAAACCACCATTCTACTCTCTAGTTTTATGAGTTCAACATTTTTAGATTCCATGTAGAAGTGAAATTATGCAGTATTTGTATCTCTGTGCCTGAATTTTTTCACTTGATATTATATCCTTTCAGATCATCCATATTGTCTCAAGTGACAGAATTTTCTTCTTTTTTTAAGGTTGATAGTATTCCATTGTATATAGGTACCACATTTTTTTATCCATCCATCCACTGAGGGACACTTAGTCTGATTCCATACCTTGGCTACTGTGAATAGTGCTGCAAAGAACACGGAAGTATGGCCTATCTTTTACAAACTCTGTTAGAAAAGAAAAAAAAATTCCATACAAGCACTTCTAACTTTAGTCTAGGAGTGAGTAAGCCTATTTGTCGAGTTTTGCAAGTATTTTTAAATCTTTTTTTAAAAAAACACAGGGAGACACCCATCATGTTTATTGTCCTAAAGAGGCTTGTTTTGCTTATCTCAGCACCTCTTCAAACTTTTAAAAGAAATACAGAAACAATAGTTAACTTTTCAAAGGGGGCACTCACACAAGAAATCTGAGCACTCCCATTGTGACCCAGGAGTCTGATTTGCATCCTCAAGTAGGGAAACAGAATCCTAGAATCACAAGCCTGCCATGACTGGGACTGAGAAGGTCACTGGGCCACCCTCCTGCTTCCAGAACAAACTGCAGCTGCTCCTAAACCAACCCCCAGCAAAGGGTTGTCTGCTGTTTGGGGAAAAGACATTTGAATTCTCCCAGTGACCGCTTCGGTTGTCTAACAGCCTTTCTCAACCAGGAGGTTCTCACCTGGAACTCATCAAAGTGCAGTAAAAGGTATTTTGGAACGTTGTTACTGAGACAACTGCAGCATAATGGAGTCTATACAACTGAGGGGCTCAAATCACAGTTCCTCTACTTACAAGTTGTGTGTCCTTGGGCAAGTGACTTAACCTTTCTGAACTCCAGTCTCTCCATCTAGAAAACACAATAATAACTGCAGTGTGGTTGTGGGGAGTAAGAGTCAATGCTTGCAAAACTCCTCATATGCGTTGACTAAAGGGTGGCTGCCACCAGCTTTATTTTGATGCAGTTAGCATTATTGTTAGTATTCTTTCCCTCCTACTGCCAAGAAGAATTCAGGATAGCCACCGATTCATAAAACCTCATCCAGTTGGCATTTTACCAACTTTAGTAATCTCCAGAGATAAAGAGCTCCGAGGCTTGTCCCCCTTATCTGTCCAGCTCACTGAAATGCCTGCTGATAGTACAGCAGAGGGCCGGCTATTAACCGAGCAGGGGGAAGTTGATCGAGGTCAGGAACCCAGGCACAAAGGGACACTGTCAGAGCTGACCTCACGAATGCTAATCCTCTTTATCCCTTCCCAGAATGGACTGTAATCGTCTCCAGATTAAAATGTGCAGTGGAGGTGACCAAAACAAAAACTTGGCAGCAAATGTGAATGCAAATGTATATGGTCGTTTAATAGCCTCTCCAGGAGGCTGCCACATGGGTAGCACACTCTGCTGAAGAGACCAGGTCACTCACCACTCAGAACCATGGCTGAGCCTGATAGGCTTGTATAGCCTCAACCCCGTTCAAAAGACAAAAACCATGGAGCCAAGCAACCAAACAACTAGGCCAAAATTTCTTTAGCCGGTACATTAAGAGTGCCTAGAGCTGTTGACACTTCCACCCTTTCCTGTCCCTTCTCTTTATTTACAGTGTAAGCTATAATATAGTCTCAGCTTGACCTTGGGCAAGTGATTCACCCTCTCTAAACCTGTTTCCCCATCTGTAAAATGGGGATAACAAGGAAACCTTCTTCAACAGGCAGAGAAGGCATCTGTAACGCATTGAATTTAGTTCCTAGAATGTACAGATGCTCAGTAAATGTGATTATTCTGCTAGAGTTTTCTTGTTAAATTATTTCCGTGTGGGGTTAAAAGTCTTTGTCTCCAGAAAGCCCTAAGTTAGAAAAGCCCCCCATTCCCTTTCTAACTAATAAAGTGCAAGGTGGAACTAGGTGTAAGGAAGAGGCAGTGAGGCAGTGAGCTCGATAAATGCTCCTTGACTAACTTAGATCTGTGTTCGCACTTGGGATTTGATCTTTCCAGGTCACCTTTCGCCTCACCCCCATGTAATCCACTGTTGTTTGGCATTAATAGAATTTATGTGCATAACCCAAAAAGAATAAAATATGCCCATGTCCATTGATTTTATGTTAACTCTTTGTCATTTAATATTCAAAAAAACATTGTACTTTACTTATATTTTTTCTCATTACTTTTAATGTAGCAGTAAGCATAATTCTCTCCCCAGAGGTACTCAGCAAGTGGTTCATTAAAAATGCATGCCCGGGTTTAGTAAGCAATACTTCGGATCTAGAATACTTTCTCATTCTCCATGAGACTGTCTCTAATTATAAGTCCAATAGTCTGAGCTAATCTTCACAATTAAAATTTTAAACCAACTAAACTGGAATACGACATTGTTTAGGGCGGTATTATATTCTTTTTCATCACTTTTTTTTTTTTTTTTTTTTTTTTATAAAAAGCTATATCCAGCAGGTAGGGTGCAAAATGAGTATTCCATTTCCTATGTAACTTTGTTTACATTATTTTTAAAGTGCTATAAAAAGGTATTTCTGTTGTTATGCAGTTAATTATGTGTTGAAATCACAGAGACACGCTTAAAAAAAGGCAACCATGAGGAAAAAAAGCATGTTCTGAAAGTGTTCTTAGTTTATTCTCATTGAATGGTTATTTCTAAGGGTCCCTAACATTACTTGCCAAAAGGAGCCATCACTTCAAAAAATGTTAACATCATATTCAGCAAAAAGAAAATAGCAAGTCATCGTTGATTACAAACATGAGAACACTTCAAGGACACTGGGAGTATTGGGACACGACTGCTCACTGGAATCTGTCATCTCTTGCTGCCAGAAATAACTTCTTTTTGCCAGGCTCGGTGGCTCAGCCTGTAATCCCACGCTTTGGGAGGCTGAGGTGAGTGGATTGCCTGAGCCCGCGGGTTCGAGACCCGCCTGGGCAGCGAGACCTCATCTCTACAATAAATCAAAAAATCAGCCGGGCATGGTAGCGCATGCCTGTAATTCCGGCTACTTGGAAGGCTGAGGCGGAAGGATCGCCAGAGCCCAGCAGGCGAGGCTGCGGTGGCCGGGAGTGGCCACTGCACTCCAGTCTGGGCGACAGAGTGAAACTCCAACTCAAAAAAAAAATTACTTCGTTTTATTTAGGATGTCCATTTTGCTATTTGTATTTCTAATGGACGTTTTTTCTTTAAGTAATGACTTAAAATACACTCTTGCCAAAAAAATGCGAAGGTAATCTGAAGATCTTCAAAACCCAGAGTCTCCATGAAAAAGAAAAAACTTTTAAATAGTATCTATTTCAAATTCCTCCTGTATGACAGAGGAGGAAACTGTGAGGGTCAGAGAAGGCCAGTTTGGTTTAATCAAAAGTAATACCGCGTTTTAATGACATATCCCTGGACCTACCCCAGACTCTTGCCTCATCCCCCCAGACATTGTTTTCAGAAGCAGCAGACACCACCAGCTCCATGAGAATAGTGTTCCAGGAAGCTCTGGGATTAACGATTACCAATATCTTATAGCACTTAGCACTTTGTAAAATGTGGATGCTTTCACTATCAAAATGGTTCAAATTTTCAACTTTCACAACTTAATTAACCTTCAATTTCTTAGAAAATTATACTAATCCAAACATGATTCTAAAGAAATGAACATTTTCAATGTGTTCATACACACAGAAATGAATTTGTGTGGGTATCTATAAGTAAGTTCATTATCTGTATAAGATAAATACATGTGTATATAGACATATAGTATGTAAACTTACGTACAAGTAAAACCAGAGTTAGATTCAATTGCATACTTAATTATTCACGTGTAAATACAGCTGGTTGAAGGGAAGAATAACATTTCAGCATCTGTGTACTGCAAGTGACCTAGCACATGCAGCTGCTTATTTTATTTTTTATTTTTATTTTATTTTATTTTTGAGTTGGAGTCTCACTCCGTCGCCTAGACTGGAGGGTAGTGGCACACTCACTACCACCCCAGTGTCAACCTGCTGGGCTCAGGCAATCCTTCCGCCTCAGCCTTCCAAGTAGCCAGAACTACAGGCATGCACTACCATGCCCAGCTAATTTTTTGATTTATTATAGAGACGAGGTCTCACCAAGTTGTCCAGGCTGGTCTCGAACCCCTGGGCTCAGGCAACCCTCTCGCCTCAGCCTCCCATAGCCACCGTGCCTGGCCAGCTTCTTTATTTTAAAATAATATCAGTAATAGGGCTGGATGACATACTTCACCTGCATGCAGCCTACCTATATAGTTAATCCTCACTTGTGCCCCTCATATCTATAACAAAATAAATAGAGGCGTGTGTGGTGGCTCACACCAGTAATCCTAGCACTTTGGGAGACTGGGGTGGGCAGACTGCTTGAGCCTAGAGTTCGAGACCAGCCTGGGCAACAGAGCAAGACTTTGTCTCTACAGAAAGCCATAAAAATTAGCCAGGCATGGTGATGTGTGCCTATAGCCTCAGCTACTCGAGGTGCTGAGCTAGAACGGTCACCTGAGCCCAGCAGCTTGCTGCCATGAGCCGTGATCATCATGCCACTGTACTCCAGCCTGGACAACAGAGGGAGACCCCAACTCAAAATAATAGTAATAATATCAGTATAGTTTCTGCTCATTCAGTTATATCTATTGTAGAGGTTGTGCTAGAAACTGAAATGATCACTCTTGTCAAGTCACTGATGGTAATGACCCATGCAGCCTATCTATAGAATCATAATTTTTCTTTTCACTCAACCATGTCTGAAAGGGCAAGGGTAAGTTTCTTAATATTTCTAGGAATTCTCCTGGGCCTTCCCTATGATATACTAAGGGACAGCTCTACCAATCTGAAAAGATATCCCCTCTCTGAGGTGACTGGTGGCTGCACAGGAGAATAATAAAGAAGTTTGCTAGAGTTTAAACAATTCTGAAACCACATAGCTAGAATTCATAAGCCGTGAACCTCTTGTAGATTATAGATACACACACGCACATCCACACGCACGGATGTCCCTTGTTATCTATGAGGGATGGGTTCCAGAATCCCCCTTGGGTACCAAAATCCACAGATGCTTAACTTCCTTGTGTAGAATGGCATATAACCTGCACATGCCCTCCCTTATATGTTAAGTAATCTCTAGATTGCTTATACGACCTAATACATTGTACATGCTATGTAAGTATTATTATTCCATATTGTTTAGGAATTAATGGCAAGGAAAAACAGTCTGTACATGTTCAGTACAGAGGCAACCATACTTTTTCAACTATTTTTGATCCATAGCTGGTTGAATCCACAGATGGGGAAGCCACAGATATGGAGGGTCGACTGCGTGTGTGTGTGTGTGTGTAGAACCATACAATCATATGAAATATATAGATATATAGAGATGCCATCCTAAATAATATATAGTTATATATCTTTGTCTATACTGCATAGTGATTTATCAAATTACAGAATTGAGAAGTTCATAGCTGTTCTTCCTTTTGAAGTAGAAATCTAATTTCTTAAAAACAATTGGTAAAATATGGTGCTTTTTTGTTCTGTAACACAAACCTTTGCTTCCTTGGTATTAGGGTTTCCAATATGCACTGTGATTCTGAACATAGACTTTAGCATAACACTCCCTGGATTTAAATCCTGGTCATTCCTTACCAGTTCTGTGACCTTGGGCACAAGACTCAACTTCACTGAACCTCAGTTTGTTTGTAAAGTTGCAAAAATGTCTCCTCTTCCTAGGACGGATGTAAGAATCAAATCAGATAATGCACGTGGAAAGGTTAGCACAGTGCCTGGTTCATAAGAGGACTTCAGTTGGGTTAATTGCTATAATCATCCATATCCCGGTAGTAAACACAAGCAGTACCATTCTGTACTGCATCAGGGCCTGTCTCGTGCAGTGAGTTAGAGACTTAAAGAGTATCTGTTATCCAGCAGCTGCCCCCACTGATCCGTGCCCACTGAACCAGAACTTTACCTCCCAGGCAGGCCCTGCCTTTCTAACAAACTCTAGCATGCATGTATATGGACAACTACAGAAAGTCAGGAGGGACACTGGGGGACTCCTACAGGGGAGAAGTGTGTACCCAATCACACTTCCCAGGAAGTCCCAAGCAAGGATTCTTTTGGATTATCTAGATCTACTGGTACTTGGTAATGTTCTGGTAGTTCTGAATCTATGTGGTTGTAGGGGAAAAAAAAGTATATGCATGCTAGCATATAGTGATAGGATGTCAAAACCAGGCTGGTCACTGTGGCAACTAGGATGGTTTCTCATCCTCTATGTTGACACCTTCGAGAGCTGGGCTCCGTGTGTCAGCAACAGTATGATTCCAGCTCTCCCCAACACCTGTCATGTTGCTAGGAGACTTCCTTCCCCACAATAGAGTATTATAAGGTGCTTGGCATGGAGGGCCCCTCATGTCATCAGACATTTCCAGCCCATTCATCTAATTTATAAGTCCAAATAGTCATTTAAAAATTCCAAATCTGGCTTTGCCAGGCAGCTCCTCTCTTTTGTCATCTACAAATCAAACTGTTATGGTTAAAGCCGTAAATACTGAATGACTTCTACACACAGCCACAAAGCAGGTGTCTGAGACTTGCCAATATCGAGTCACACAGTTGGGATATTTATAAGCAGTATATACCTTAAAAAGTGCCCACTCCCTGCTCTCTTCAACAGAATTTATCTTTTCATATAACATTTCAGGTGTTTCTCCCGAACATAAACAAGACATCAATGCAAGCAGTATTGGATTATCTCTACACCAAGCAGTTGTCTCCTAACTTGGATCTGGACCCGCTAGAACTAATTGCCTTGGCAAACAGATTTTGCCTGCCACACTTGGTTGCACTTGCAGGTAAGGCTGATGACTTGGGACCATGCAGTGTTGACTGTCATATTTATCAAAATCACATTTAAATAAAAATGAGATTTCCCAGGAATGAAAATTTATTTTGTATCACCCAAAATAGGGCTGTCTTGTATAGGATGATATGAACTAATCAAATTGTATCAGACAGCCCAATTCAATTCAACAAATATTTCTTAAGCACCTACTTTGTGGCAGGCCTTGTTAGGTGATGCAGGTATGAAAATGAGTAAAGTGTGCCCTCTGCCCTCGAGGCACACACTCCATGAGTGGCGACTCATTTGTGAGCCCCAGGAGTTTGCAATAAAACTGCTCTGCCAACATTATCTCCAGAATGTGTGCACAGACACGCTCTTTAAAAAAGAGGCAGTGGTGAGAACCAGATTGCCTAAGTTCAAATCCTGGCTCCACTGTTTGCTGACCCGGTGACTTTGCCCTTTCCTTAAACTTAACTCTGTCCCTCAGCTTCCTGTCTCTTTAAAATGGGGATGATATTATTCTACCATATAGTTGTTATGAAGATTAAATGAGTTAAAATATATAAAGTCCTTAGAACAGTGTCTGGCACATAGTAAGCATATTATATAAGTGGTTTTCTTAAAGCTATTTTAGAAAATGTTCTGACATTGTCGAGTTCATTTTGGGATAAAGAGAAAAAAGGGAGACTTGGCTTAGCAGCACAAAATCTCATGTATCATTGCCGGATTTGTTCGGTTGGGAAACTGAAGTGGATCTAAATCGGATATATGCACTTAAATACCTTTTCTCAAATTTAAACCCTCAGCTTCATTCATTCACCAGAGGTGTTAATGTGCAATCTGGGTGTTTAGTTGGCTCCTATTAACCATGAAAGCAGAGACAGAGAGTACCTGTTTTGTTCACTGGCTTTTCTCCTGCACATAGAAAAGTGCCTGAGCATATTAAGTTCTCAATAAATATTTCCTGAATAATTAAATGAATGAATATGAACATGTGAACAAACCAACCAGCCCTATCTGTTCTTGACTTCCTGGCAGTGTCTTTAGAAAAAAAAAAAGATGAATTTCTTCAGGTTTCTACTGCATACAGCCACCTAGAGATCAAAGACCTCTCTTCACCCTACCTTCTTCCCCTTGGATAGAAAGAGAAATTGAAGCATTTCTATTTGATTTTTAAAAACTGTTTTTAACCAATATACCCGAAGTCATAGATTCACATAGGTGCACTACTTTTTAAATATTAACTCTAGGAGTCTGCAGTGAGCAGTTACTTTTGTCAGAAGTGTAAGTTGAAAACCATTTAACTACCCACAGGCTTTACAATATTTGTCCTTGAGGATAAATTTGATTTTTTTTTAATTATCAAAAGTAATTTGGAGCCAAATCTGTCAAACAAGGTTTGTGATCAATTTCAGGAGAGTGCCATTTTTGCTTAAATATTAAGTTTGGCAATGAAAATATGGGAGTGATTTCTCCATAAAAGTATTTTTTTAACTGACCCAAATAAAGGTTCTTATGTGCACTGTAGACGTCTATGTTCAGTTGTGTTATTAAATACTGTTATTACTGTCATGATTAATTAATATACAGTTTCCCAATATAATTTTTTAAATCACTTATAGTATTTGGTGTGTACTGTCTAGTGTAGAGTGTTTAGAACAATGCATTTCAAAATCAGTTTCCGGGATGACAGTGCTTCACAAGCCTGTGTTAAACGAATGTTAAAAAATGTTGCAATTACTTAAAATGTAAAAGTTCAGATGACTCCTGGGAAATTCAGTTTTAAGTTGTTCTGTGTTTGTCAGTCCTGCTGAGGAAGGTTGTACCAAAACACCCATTCAAGTCCATATTGACCAGATTCAAGTATGCTGGCTCCCAGGCATGTGGAGCCAGAGCAGACAGTCAGCATGATCTGGCCAGTGGACTGGATTAGAGAACAGATGCACTGCTAGAGATGACATCACCAGCAAAGAACTAGGAATGACTGAGCCAAGACTGTATTCCACATGTCAGTTCCAGAAGTGGGTGACAGCCCAGACGGAGGCAAGAGACAGTTAGCCCAGCCTCGGGCCACAATTTAAATTCAGTTTGGGGCCAGGCCTGGTGGCTCATGTCTGTAATCCCAGTTCTTTGGGAGGCCATGGCAGGCCGACTGCTTGAGCCCAAGAGTTAGAGACCAGCTTGGGCAACCTAGCAACCTAGCAAAACCTCACCTCTACCCCCCCAAATATATACATATATATATAATTAGTCAGGCATGGTGGCACATGCCTGTAGTCTCAGCTACTTGGGATGCTGAGGTGGAAGGATCCCCTGAGCCCAGGAAGTCAAGGCTGCTGTGAGCTGCAGTCATCCTAATCATGCCACTGCACTCTAACCTGGGCAATAGAGTGATAACCCAACTCAGAAAAATAATAATAATAAATTCAGCTTGGAAGCCTTAGACTCAAGCTCCCAAGCAGAAATGTCTCTCCCAACTGGATTTTTGTTACTTCTGGCTGAAGGTGTCCCCGGTCTTTAGAATCCAAGAAGTTGAACGATACATCACTCATCTATGACTGTTGAGACAGATGAATGCAGTCATATTTTTAATTCCCCAGATAGACTTATTCCTCTGTTCGTCAGTCTCTCCACGGTAAGAGGTTATTGAGAATTGCAGCATTATGAGTGGGAAAACTGTCAAACAGGAACATATCTAGAGTCTAGAGGATTTACGGAAGGTGCTAGACTGTCCAGAGCCCCATTGTCCAGTAGTACTTTCTGCAGTGATGGAAACTGTCTATATCTGCATTTTCCAGTACAGTGGCCAAATGTGGCTGTCGAGCGCTTAACGTAGCTAGTGTTACCAAGGAGCTCAACTTTTATTTTATTCATTTAAGTTTAAATAATAGTCTCATGTAGCCAGTGGTTACCATTCTTACCATCCTGCTCAGGACAGTGCAGGTCTGGAGGATTCTGGCTATTTTGGAAGCACAAATGAGTCCCCAGGGATGTCAGTGCAATGGCTGGAGACCAGAGCTCCCCGTCCCACGAAGCCACAATCAGAACAGACCCTGGATTCTGTTTGGATGGCTGCCCAGAGTTGTGTCCCATAGATCCTCTCTTCCTAGGTGATCCCAGGCCAGCCTCTCCAGTCAAGATATCTGACTTGCAGGGCATGGCTTAATCTTCTTCCACCCCCTCTTTCTTCCTCAGAGCAACACACCGTACAAGAGTTGACCAAGGCCGCGATGAGTGGCATGGGCATCGACGGGGAAGTGCTCTCTTATTTGGAATTGGCCCAGGTTTGTAACAATTTGCTTTTCACCTTTTAAGTGTGTTCAACCAGTTCATTTAATGCTGATGAAACATTCCACTGTTGCATCTGTCTAAATAAAGATGTCACCACTGAGTCACAGAGGCCCCCTGTGTACACTAAGATCTGAGAGTTTTACATTTCATGCACCATTCAGCCTGCTGGGCTTCGTTTGAAAAAACAACAAGAACCCCACCCCCAGTCCCATTGTCCCCTAAGGCACCAGCATCACATGTGGGACAGCCACTTGGGGCATGAGAGGGGGAGGTTTTGTCTCTCCTCCTTGGAATTCTTAGACATGTATTTGGCCAAGAACAGTTTCTAGAATCCCATGAAGCCCTGTAATGTCCCTTGTTAATGAGCATCTCACTGCAGCTCTCCAGGAGTTGTCTAAAGTTCGTAGTTATTAATGTTGAGGTTGTAATAGCATAATCCCAGTACACACTCTCACTCTTGTTCCAGAGAAGGTCCATGATCCAGTTTCAGCTTTATCACAGAATAGCTTCCTCAGAACACAAAGCTAAACTCTGCCTCACTTTCCTCATCCATAAGAAATGGGGATGGAAATTCACACCCTACCAACCTTACAGATTATTTTGAGAATCAAGTGGGAGAGAATGTTCCAGAGAGAGCACTGAAGAGTAGATGTCCTCTTAGAATGCAAGGCACATCTGCAGAATGATCTAGTCCCTGGCATAGACTGATTAACAATGAGTTTACATTTTGAGGGAACTAAGAATAAATTACATCTTTGCTTCAGCCTGTTGGGTTTTGCTTCCTTTGTTCCCTCTCTGGGTTAGGGCAGTGGCTTACTAAGCCTTAGGTCAGGCAGCTTAAATCAATTATCTCTCAATCAAGTTAAGAGGGGGTGGTGTCAGGAAGAGGATGTGGCTTAATGCAGGTGTTGCTGGGACCCTTCCCACTTTGGTCAAGGGAGATGGCTCAGGTTCAAAAGGGGAAAAGGTGGAACAGAACTTTATAGCCTCTTAGCCATTCTGACTTAGCATTCAACAAGTATTTGTTATTTTCTCCCTGAGTACCAGGCACCACCCTAAGCAGAGGACATCTACATGCCCTCGAGGCACTCATAGCCCAGTGAGAAAGACAGATACAATCACAAACTGTTCAAATCCACTTGGGGGGTTACAGTGAAACTGAGAATGGACATCGGTTGCAGTAGAATCAGCAAGCTCCCAGAAAACTGGTTGTCCAAACGTGGAACTTGAGGTCTTTTGAGATAGTCCTGGGCTACAGTTTATGACTTGTACCTTCTCCAGTAACTATTCCTCCTAGAGAAAAATGCAATGACCCAGAATTTTATATAGGGCCCGTTCACTTGAGGTAATGATTTGCAGCTGTGTCTATTTGTTTGCACTGTGCTTCCTCCCTGTCTCCTCCTCCTACTCCCCCCCACACACACACTGCAAAGAAATAATAAGATTATTGCTAAGCCCTGACAAGCCTTGGCAGGGAAGAGTTTAGGACAGAGCCTCCCATATCTTAGCTCATTCATTAGACCCTTGCCCAGTGATGTGCTGGTAAGTATTTAACAGCCAGCTTGGGCGGGAAGAGGAGATGGGACCCTGATCTGTTGCATTTTCCAAGTTCTGTAGTGTAAACACCCCTGCCGATTCGAACCACATGAAGTCACTGAACTCAGAGTAGAGAAGAAATGTACACAATTGGCTCCCTCGAGCTGGTAGAAGAAGCCCTGGTCTGGTTTTCAGAGCGAAATCCAACATCAAGAAAAGTTGGAAGCGCCAGCTAAAACAAGCTCTGGGGTTTAGGGTTGTGGCTTTCAGAGAGTCTCTTGAGTGGGTCTCTGAGGTCTTTGGCCTTTCTATTGGTCTTTGCAGTGGAGATGTGGGCTGCTGAGGACCCATGCTGTAGGTCCCAGGGCACCACCCAACCAAAGAAACATCACGAGCAACCGACAACTGAAGAGATGTCTGAGAAGGGAATGGACAGAAGGAGAGAGTGGTGCAGGGATTCTCGCCAGACCTGGGGAAGGAATGGGGAGTTTACTCTTGATTTTTGGGCATCAGGTCTTTTCCAGTCATAGCTACCTCAGCTGCCACCTTCCCGGATATTGTCAGAAAGGAAGGATGGAGTTCTCGGATCCCTCCCACCTCGCCCATGCTGCCTGCTTTTCTTATGTAACCAAAGGGCAGGTATAGGACAGTCACGCATCCTGCAGTCTCCTCTTTCAGCTCTTTGGCCCCAGCAAGCTGAGCTCTGACATGCGACACGGAGTATTCCGTTGCCGAGGCTTCCTTAAACAGAGATGACATCGCTGCTGTCTGCAATTGGCTGGTACCTTCCAGAGGCCAAGGCTGTTTATCACTAGAGGGCCAGGTGGCAGGGGAGGGTGGGAGGGCAAGGCATACTTTAAACTTGTGATCTGATACAGTGATTATTTTTGACCCACCTATCACAGTGTGGCAGGGGGGGGGGGGGGCAACACTGTATTGGCTGGCATCGGAACCATGGCCAAAGTCAAAACATGGAGGTCAAAACAAGAGTTTTACTGAACGTGTTATACAAGCCTTTAATTTCTTTTCATTCCTAGCTCCCAGTTTCTTTAAACTTTAAAAAAATAGTCTGACCCATCTCCCATTTTGACCACTTTTCTGCAGTTTCACAATGCCCACCAGTTGGCCGCGTGGTGTTTACACCACATCTGCACCAACTACAACAGTGTTTGCTCCAAGTTCCGCAAGGAAATCAAGTCAAAATCTGCAGGTGAGACCATGCGAGGCCCCCATTCACCCAGTTCTCCTCACCTCTGACTGAAGCATTTCCCTTCCATGTTCCTGGGAATGGTCACGGTCAGCGAAGGGACTTGGTCAGCAGCAGCTCATGGACGTTCCTTGAGACTGGCTAGCGGCTACATATTCAAGTGACGTGGCACAAGGCCTCGTGGACTGGGCATTCTCTTTGGAGAACTTCATGCCTGAGGGGGTTGGGTGGACTGGAGCCCAGGGTGCCTAGCTGCAGTGTGCTGAGGAGGCAGGCTCCCCATTGTTGAGGGGGCGGGCATGCTTAGGAACAAGCTTAGACTCTGAAATCAAGTGGTGCTGGATTCAGGGTCTCTATGACGAGCTGTGTGACTAGAGACAGGGAGACTTCTCCCTTCAAAACTTTAGTATCAACCGGGTGCGGTGGCTTAAGCCTATAATCCCAGCACTTTGGGAGGCCAAGGTGAGAGGATTGTCTGAGCCAGCGGGTTTAAGACCAGCTTGGGCAACATGGTGAGACCTCGTCTCTACAATAAATCAAAAAATTAGCTGGGCGTGGTAGTGCACACCTGTAGCTCTGGCTACTTGGAAGGCTGAGGTGGAAGGATCCCCAGAACCCAGCAGGTCGACGCTGGGGTGGCTGTGAGCGTGCCACTGCACTCCAGCCTGGGCAACGGAGTGAGACTCCAACTCAAAAAAAGACAAAAAACAAAAAACTTCAGTATCACCTTTTGCAAACGGCCCTAATCACAGTCCCTGCCACGTGGAGTTGTTATGAGGATATTTCAGAGGCCTTAAGTGCAAGGCCTAGCACCTAGAAACAGTGAATGAATGAATAGCAGGTATCATCTGCATCTTTCTTTCACCAGACAACCAGGAATACTTTGAGCGGCACCGCTGGCCCCCCGTGTGGTACCTGAAGGAAGAAGACCACTACCAGCGTGTGAAAAGGGAGCGAGAGAAGGAAGATATTGCACTAAATAAACATCACTCGAGACGAAAGTGGTGCTTCTGGAATTCATCTCCAGCGGTCGCCTGAAGAGGAAGAGGAAAAAAGCAACCAGTCATCTGATATGCCACTTTTAAAAGCACTACTGTAAAATTAGTCTTCTTATTAGAGATACGATATAGTTCAGGTTTCAGGCACTGACCTTCCTCCACTTTTGTGCATTTATCTTTGTTAGGATCAAAGCACAAGCTCACCATCCATGAGCCTGGACAAAAAGGGAAGCCGACTCCCACTGCATTCCTTAAACTGATATGTCTATTTTTTTGTTAGGAGGCTTCATAAACTTTAGTCTGTTATTTTGTTTCTTTTTATACAAAGAAAAAAAATTCAGCTTTCATGTTTCTGATTCCAAATTGGAAAATATTTTTATATGGTCTCTTGTATTTTGTTGAAATGAAAATACTATGTATTACTTTATTTTACAGGCCACAGTTGACTCTGAAGTCACCCTGGGATTCTCTTTGCCCACATGACCACCGAGCATTAATACGTAACTAGAGGGTTATCCGTTTATTGTGAAAGAAAGGACAGGATGGGACTGAAGTCCCCCAAAGTGCAAGTTGGAGAGTGTTTAATCTTTGTTCTGCTAAAATCACATCAGTATAATTACCAAGTCAACTCCAAGAATGCGTATTCACAATATTTGCCATGTACAAGTGCTAGTAATTATATGGTTATATGTGTGCCATGTAAAATATAGTGATTCAAATATTGTTGTTTAAAATGACTAGATTCAAGAGGATAATCTTTGTAATCATTAGAAGGGCTTATTAAATCCCAGCATTATCCAGGGCAAACTCACTGGTGGACCTGAATAAGTAAGATCCCATTAGAGCACAGGTGTTCAGATTGCTATGTTAGGGTTATGTCTTTCAGTATTCCTTGATCTGACCATGCGTCTGCATGCAGATTCTCCACTGACTTGAATTGAGATGGGCAAGGGAAAGATCTCTGGACTCGGTCCCACCATCTGCAGGTTTGTCCCATCTCACCACCAGAACCAGGCTTCCTCAGGTCTCTCACCTGTGGCCAACTTCACTTTCTAAGACCCATCTTTTTAACCCTTTCCAGGGAAAATCCATGCTGCTGCAGAGGTAGGCTAAGGCAGACCACCCACTCCTGCTGAAATGCATTGGGGGCCTGTGAAAGCACCAAGCTGGAGGCCAGGGGGCCTGCGTTCTCCAACACAGAAAGGAATCTAATTCCAAGCGTCTAGGAAATGGTGCTATTGTGAGTTAGTTCTGATCCTTTGTCCTTCTGAGTTTTCAGTGTTACATTAGAAAGTGTGAGAGCAGGGGAGTGTTCCTGAGGCAGTCAATCTTTGCTTCTCTGGAAGTTAAAATGTTACAACACACACACACACACACACACACAGAGAGAGAGAGAGAGAGCATTTTAAGGCCACAGCTCCATACCTGCTGGGGATGTTCTGAGGTGAGGCCTGGGGCTCATTCTGTTGGGAGGTCAATTCACTGATGCTAAGGGCTGTTGATTTTGTTTTAACTTTTTTTTCCCTAGCTTTTAGAAGACAGAAAAGAGGCAGTTGAGTCCAAACCCCAGTGCTGACTGCCATATGCATCTGAAAATTTGTCTAGATTGCAGAGGGGTATTTATCACTGGCAGTGGAAATACACTAGATACAAAAGCTTGGAGAGGCCCAGAAATCCATCACCATCTCATGACAAAAGAGGAGGTGGTAGAGTAGGAACAGTTATACACGCATCCACCTTAATTTTTTCAGTAGGGTTGTAAGTCATTAATGGAGAAGAAAGGAGACAGAATGAGAGGATAAATGTCAAGGCTCAGGAAGACTTGGCGTGTATCCCGTCGTAACATGGTAGATAGAGGTTGAGTTTTGAATGAGTAGTCATAGTTGAATTTTTACAACCAAAGCTCCCATTTGATTGTGATCTTGCCAAAATGTGATGGACACATAAATGAACTTGGGATATAAGCAATAAATATTCACTAGTGTTGTTATCAGCTACTATAACCAAGTGGCTGGTTCATTTGGTTGATGCTGATTATGGCCTTTAACCATGGTGATTTGTTGTGTGTTTTTTATTTCACAAAAAGCCAATAAAATTGTTTAGCTATAAAATGTCTCTGGTTTTGCTTTAATGATTGCCATCATACCATGTGTGTAATTGAAAACCATCAGAACTTTCAAGGTGCTGGGTCACTGGGGCTTGTGTGTGCTCCAGGAACAAAGCAGTTTGCCTGACTTATCTTTGTTTTTAGTATTGTTAGCAGAGATTCCAATGCCATAAAGTAAATAAGGTGTCTGACTCTTTGCTCTTGGCTAAAATACAGTATGTCACTAGACATGATGCAGCCTTGGGGGAGAGTAGAAAATGACATCTCTCTTCTAATGGACTTATTATAATCTGGCTTTGGACAATTCTGCTGGTGATTAAGTGAAAGGTCTGAGTTGACAGGCTCATAAGGAAGACTTTCCTTCAGAAGCAGATTTGAGAACGTCTTTGGGAAAATCTGTAAACACTTTCTGGACTTCTAAGTAGTATAACGTTTACCCAAATTCAGAAGGAAGAAGGCTCGCCAATGAGATTTCATAAGGGGACTTTTCTGAGCAGCGAGTTAACCTGAATAACTCCATGGGAAAAAGTTGACCACTGTAAGAAATAGCTACAGAAAGAAGACAATGAGATTTCCAGCTCCTTCTCATACCTTTTAAAGTTGGGTGGTCCCAGTCATGGCACCATTCACATAAAAGGCATACCATTTATATAAAAGGAAACATGAGCCGGGCTCGGTGGCTCAGCCTGTAATCCCGCGCTTTGGGAAGCTGAGGTGAGTGGATTGCCTGAGCCCGCAGGTTCGAGACCCGCCTGGGCAACTTGGTGAGACCTCATCTCTACAATAAATCAAAAAATTAGCCGGGCGTGGGAGTGTGCGCCTGTAGTTTCAGCTACTTGGAAGGCTGAGGTGGAAGGATCACCGGAGCCCAGCAGGTCAAGGTTGCAGTGGCTGGGAGCAGCCACTGCACTCCAGTCTGGGCGACAGAGTAAGACTCCAACTCAAAAAAAAAGGAAACATGGGCGGGAGAATTGCTTGAACCTAGAAGTTCGAGACCACCCTAGGCAACATAATGAGTCTTTGTCTTTACACACAGGCATGATGGTGCACACCTATAGTCCCAACTACTTGGGAGGCTGAGGCGGAAGGATCACCTGAGCCCAGGAGGTTGAGAGTGAGCCGTGATCTTGCCACTGCACTCCAGCCTGGGTGACAAAAAAAAAAAAAATGTATCATTGGAGTCTTAGCAGCTGAAAAAGTCTTGATCCAAGTTTCTCCTAGGGTAATGCCTGGCAAATCATGGGGGATTTCAACACCACTATATTCGTGTTTTGAGAGACACAGATCTTACTGATCTAGAATGAACTTAAATATTTTCCTCATGGACACTCAAAAGGAAAAGTCCAATGTTTCTGAGATTTTAGAGTGAATTTTACCAGGAAGAAAAGCAAAATGAATCCTGAGTTTGGAAACTTTCATGAGTGCAGCATTTCTGAAATGAATGCTTATCTGCAAGCCAAAGATTTGCCAGTCTTTTCTATGAAGTGGGTGTTTTTTTAATTGGTGCATGTGTACACACACACACACACACACACACACACACACATATATACACCTCCTAATTGAATGCTAATAGACAAGTAGCAATAATTTCTCTCTTCCAGAAGAATATTAGTATTGCACAAAAAGTTGAGGTAAAAGTTAGCCAAGGAGAGTGCATTTGTGTTGCATGCGTATGCATGTGTACATAATAAAAAAGCAGCATAACAAAAAGGAAAGAGCTGTTGTACAAAGCCAGAGTTGAATTAAGTACTCAGATCCACTGATGTCTTCTTTCTTTCAAAGCACTAATTTATGAGATTGAGATTACCGCATATCTCACGACTTGATTTACTCTCTGATGAAGACTTTGCTCTCTTGAATTTTCAGTTAGGAAGCCAGTGATAGATGCAACATGAAAGGTTTAGACTTAAAGGTGAATACACTGGTGTGGCAATACTGGTGACGTCCAACACATGGGTCCCCAACCCCCACGGCCACGGACCACTACTGGTCTGTGACCTGTCAGGAACTTGGCCGCCCAGCAGGAGGTGAGTGGCAGGCAAGCAGAGCTCCATCTTCTGTCAGATCAGCAGAGGCATTAGATTCTCATAGGAACACAGACCCTATTGTTAACTGCACATGCCAGGGATCTAGGATGTGTGCTCCTTATGAGAAGCTAATGCCACACCCCCCACCACCACCTCCTCCCTCTCCCTCCATGGAAAAATTGTCTTCTTTGAAACCGGTCCCTGACGCCAAAAAGGTTGGGACTGCTCCACTGCTCTAAAAGCAACGCTTTTGTAGAAACAATGCTATACCCTTTGCCTGCATTCGAAAATCCTCCCCATGCTGGCAATGCCTCTAAATTAAATATTTTTACTTAAACCATTTAGATGCATGGTTGTTTATTTGGTTGATGTACGTGTGCTCATCAGTTAGATGTTTACTTGCTATAGTCTACAAAACATGGAAATGATTTATGAACAGATAACTCACGGGTGGAAACTGATCAATCATGCAGTTGCACATCCACAGACATCAAAGTGTTATAAACAACAGTAGCAGCATGAAGCAACTTGCCAGCAACTCACTCCTGCCACTCACTGTTTCCATAGAACAGCTTGGTGACATGGATTTCCAGAAGAACATAGATGAAATGGGTGCTATCTAAATGTGGCCTCATAGAAGGAGTATTTCAGTTATTTTGAGTCTGAATATGTTCTCAACCCCAGAGACAAGAATGATTAGATAGTGCAGGCAATCAATGAGGAAAGAACTTGATTCATTTCTTTCTGCTTGGATGCCAATCAAAATTTGGGCAATTTTAAAATTCCTTCTCAATCTGATAAAAGGACTATCCTTTGATTTAAAGACTCATAGTAGTCCCAATTGGGGTGATACACTTCCAAGGAAGGTCATGTGTAACTGTCCTGTGAAAAGATACACAACCTCTCTAAGCTTTGGGCATCTGGAAAATGGAAATAAGTTTCACTGTGTTTCCAGGGCATGTTAAGTGAGATGATTTAGGTAAAGCCCTTGGCATAGTACCTTGCACATAGTAAGCACTCAGTAAATGGAAGTTAAACAGAAATGAAGGTGAGCCTGTGTACTTCACATATTGAAAACCAAAGGAAGAAATCCGAGAAAGTAGACAGACATGCATGTTATGGAATAAAACAATGTGGTCTTTTTCTGCCAGTCTATTCAACCAAGTGCCAACCTTGCTGCTTAGTACTTCAAGGCAGTGGCTTAAAAAAAAAATTAGAAAATAAGAACTATGGGAAAGTAATAAAATAATGGGCTTGAGGGAAAGGTGAGTGAGCAGAAGGAAAGAAAGAGGATGGCACTTCCTTTTTCTTTTTTTGAGTGGGAGTCTCGCTTCGTCGCCCAGGCTAGGGTGCAGTGACACACTCACAGCCACCCCAGAGTTGACCTGCTGGGCTCCATAATCCTTCTGCTTCAGCCTTTCTTTTTTTTTTT